TTGTCAGGAGAGGCCAGTCCCTGGAGAAGGAAACCATGTCTGACAGAGTAAAGGGGTAGCAAAAGAAAGGAATACCCTTATTAGATGGACTGACACAATGGCTGAAAGAGTGGGCTTAAGCACAGGCACAATTATGAAGATGGCACAGTGCAGTGTTGCGTTCTGCTGTGCACAGGGTGGCTATGGGTTGGAACCAACTTGATGGCACCAACACAACAATAACAACAATTATCCACCAACACCTGGGACAATTGGGTCTCTGAACACAGAAAAAATGAAATAGGAATTATAGTTCATACCACATTGTGGTAGTGACATAATCTGGTCTCAATTTGAGAATTAAGAGTGAAGTGGTGGAGTTTAGTCTGTCAATCAGGTCACATCTTGATGACCTCATAAGAAGGTAAATAGATCACTGGTGGTGGGACACTCACACTCCCTGTGAGACTTTCCTGTTGACAAGACACATGGAGCTATGCTAGATCCTGGAGCTGGAGGAGTCACATGGAGACTCACACCAGTGCTGAGATACTACTGCCATTGGATCCACAAGACTTTCCACCCAGTGGCCTGTGATCTTCCTGGATCATCACTGTATGTCTTGCTTGACATTTGCTTGCTTCCTTTGTCATCACTGTATGACTTGCTTGAGTCTTACGAGGAATTTATAGATTGGTATTGCACATATGGGCTAATATCAGACTTATGGACTTGATCTGGGCTGGGCTGGGAAGTTTTCTAAATATTCAACTGCTCTTGTATATAAAGCTCATTCTTATACACAGCCAAGTAAATCCTATTGAGTACAACTCTACTTTGATACACAGAATTGGCACAATAGAAATTAGTTTATACTTTAAGAATATTATACTTTAAATAATATTCTTCCCAATAAAATTCCTAAATTCTCAGAATTTTCCTCTAACCAGGTCAATGCACACTTAAGTTCTCACACTTCAGAAGTGTAAGTTTCTTATACTTTTGAAAATTTATAGTGAAATGTTTGTTTGATAATCTCTGTACCTCCTTCTAGACAGCATGCTTCATGCAAGATAGATTTTGCTTTTTGGTGTACTTCAGTCCCTGGGTGGTGAAATAAGTAGCTAAAAGGCCAAAAAAAAATTCTCATTGCCATTAGCTATTCGAAGTCAAACTCACTGACATCAAATTGATGCTGACTCATAGGAATTTTGAAGGCAAGGTAGAACTGTGTCCATGGGTTTCCATAATGCTAAGGTCAGGAATAGAAAGCCTTATCTTTCTCCCACCACTAAGGAGATTCTAATCAAAACCACAGTGAAATGTTCAGTGTGAAATGGTGCTACCACTCTGAAAAAGAGTTTGGCAGTTACTTCAAAAGTTGCACATAGAACTACCATATGGCCCAGCAATCCAAATTCTAGATATATATCCAAAAGAAATGAAAGGAAAACCACAGAAATCTGTATACCAATATCCAGGGAATTTCAAAATAGTCCAGAGATGCTAACAATAGTGTAATAGGTAGGTTTATTGTGCCAATCTGGCCAATAAGAACACAGAGGATTACTAAGGTCGTAGTTTGATTGGAGGGAAAAGAGATGAATGGTTCAACAAGCCCCACCACTCTCTCTCTTGCTTTCTGGTGACTGGACCAGCATGTGGCTGGTTTAGCTATTTCTCTACCTCAACTTGTGAAATACACTGCCTGTGGGACAGCCAACCCAGGGATTGTATTGCTAGAGCTTGAGGTTCTTTCGAGACTTGCTTCACCAAACTGCTGGTTTATATATCGCTTGAGCTTGAAGCTGTCGAATCCTGCTGTCTTGGATTGCTTAAGTTCGATATCCCATCCAGCCTGCTTCACTAAGCTCCTGACTTGCTGACTGTTGGTGACTGCCCTGCTGTTTGCTCTCTGTGGCTGGACTGCCTGCATTCCTCTGGGAAAGACTCAGCCGTCCGCTTTTTAGACTTTGGACCCAACAGCTCTCATGAACTGAAGGACTTCTAGTATATTAACAATTCCATGGAAGTGATTTGAACTGAGCCCTCTGTACAGCTGTTATAGTCCTTTATGCTTATCTATCTATCTATCTATCTATCTATCTATCTATCTATCTATCTATCATCTATCTATAATCATAAGTGTCCTGGTTTTGTTTCTCTAGAGAATCTTGTTTAACACAAATAGAAATGTCTATCAATAGATAAATGGATAAACAAAATGCATTATATACAATGGTGCTTCAAATAGGTTGTAAAAAAGAAAATGGAACTAAAAGACAATGGAATTTTTCCAGGAACTTTGAAGCACCATGGTATGTACAATGAAACATTATTCAACCACAAAGAGAAAGAAGTCCTAATGCATGCCAGAACATACACAAAGGTTTGTACCTTGAAAACATTATACTTAGTGAAGTTAGCCACAAAGTGAAACATAGTATATGCTCTCATAAGTATGAAATAAGTGAATATACAGAAAATACAGATTATTAAGGGTTACCAGGTGTTGGATGAAACATAAGTGTTTGCTTAAAAGACATTGAGCTTATTATGTTATTGGTGGTAAGACAATTAGAAAATAATTACAATAATAGTGACACACAATCAAGTATGTAATCAGTGCCACTGAATTATATATGTAAAAGTTATTGACATGGAAGATGTTTTGTTGTGTATATTTCACCAGACTATGAAAGGCCAATTACATTTTGAATCCTGCTAAAAATCCTATAGGGCAAATCTACTTGTTCACACATAGGGTCACCATGAGTTGGCACTACTCAATATTGGGGGTTTTGTAGCACAAGCAATAGCACAGTGCCTCTATCGCTGGAGGTACTCCATCCACGCGTTCCGCGAACATTGGGTATGTAGGAGGGCGGGGGGATGACTTACCGCACTCATGAGGGAATCAAGGACACTGACGGCAAATGCTGTCCCACAAGCAAATGGCTGTGTGAGGTACAGTTCCGTGTCAGGGTCATCGTCGTCATCTTGGTCCAAAAACTGAACATTAGTATCATTCACTAGAAAAAGTGTAAAAGAAGAATTAGCCCCCGTAACTACACTCAGACAGCTAAGTCCAAGAGAGATCAGGCTACTGGTTCACAAACAATGGGGCCACTCGGGCAGGGAGGGACATGGGAGAAGATATAGATGGCTTTTGGAGTTAGGTCAGTGGGACTCAATGGATGAGGTCCTATGTGATTCTTTAAGTCAACTTCTGGGGCTTGGAGAGCAATGGATTCAAGTGCACTGCATGGCAGACTGTGGAAGACCACCAGATGGCACTGTGGTCAGTTCTCTGATATAGTTTTGGCATCATGAAGGAAAAACACCCTGGAGCAACATGGGAGATGAACATATTTTAATCATGAATAGCCATGCTGGACCAAGAAGTTTAGCCACAAAGAATAGCAACTTATCCAGCATTGAGAGCAATGAATTGGACTACACAAAGGCAACAAAGCAAGGAATTAACTGTCAGGCATGACCCACAGCCTGCCCTGGGGACTGACCTTGATAGAACCTGGGGTCTAACAGGCTCTGCTAAATCCAAAGGAAACTCCAGGCAAAGTAGATCCCTGACTGTCTCTGACTGCTTTATCACAAAGACGTGCTCTTCCTTGAGTAGCATAAGGATGCCCACGTTCTCCCTTTCTCCTTTTGAATGACTCAAGCTTTCATGGGATTCAGTTAAGCAGTTTCAGCATTTGCTGCTGTATGATTGCCATGGGATGATTCCCCGAGGACTCCTCTGGCATACACATACAGGCTAATTGGTTGTCTTACTGAGATGTCTTTAACTTATTAAAAATTAAATGCCGAATTAATGTCCATCCCTATCTTGGCTTCAAAAATTATCCATTTGCAGGGAAGGTAATGGTGGGGGTGGTATATGGAGGAGGAAGAGATGAGGATCATGATTAATGAAATAATAATTGTGCTTTGAGGCAAAAAGTAGATTAAGTGTCCCCTTTCCTATTCCTATCTAAATGTACAAGCACAAACTTGTGTTTGTTTATATTAGGAAATAGAGTAAATGATAATTGGATAAAGAACTAGCATGAAATTATTCTTAAGTGACATCATATTGTCTCCCAAGAGAAAGATTAAAATAGAGAAAATCTTTGCTTCATGCATCCAAAGTTTATAGCATCTGAGTTCCTATCGTTTCTGCAGCATTTGAATTACAGACTACTGGATGGAGCACATGAGTGGTGCAAACATTTAATGCACTTGCTGCTAACTTAAAGGTTGGGGGCTTAAGTCTATGAAGAGTCACCTTGGTGACAAGGCCTGATGATCTCCTTCTCAAAAAGTAAGCCCTTGAAAATTCTAGGGAACATAGCTCTACTCTAACATACAGGGGGTTGTCATGAGTCATGATGGAATAGATGGCAGCTGGCTGTGTAAAGGTTCTAAGTCTAGAGTATGAAAATTGGGCTTCTAATCCAGATTCCATAGCCAATTACCTTGGGAAACAAAAGGGGCATGGCTATGGGACCTAGTTTTTAATGATGGTTTTTTTTTATGCTTACTTATTATACACTTTAGTTTCTCTAACTGTAATACTGCGGGCATAACAACAGTTCTCTCATGAGGTTATCAGGAGGCTTCTATGAAATTGTGCCTGGTGACCTTGGCTCAGCACCTGGATCACACTATACTCTTGATAAATGTTAGCTCAGATCACCATTGCCCTAACACATTAATGTTCCAGCCACCCACTACATTGTGGAAATCTTCAGCTTCCTTTTGCCCCTCTCAAGAAGCACTTATGATTTTGCTCAAGGATGCTATCAATGGTAGCTTTCCCTTGCCTTCCTCCATTTACCGAAGGGCATATAAAGCTTAGTCTTCCTGCCTTGGGGTCAGAAAGTGGTCACCTGAGACAGTATACAGCGGAGGCTTTAACAACTTACTTGTAGTAGCTGATGATGCTGTTTCTTCACCACTCCTTCACGAGCAGTGTCTATTAACTGGACTTTTTATTAGATTTGTTACTAGATTTGGAACGGAAGAAGCTCGAAGTAATGAGAACTCACTCTAGGCTTCCAGTGAATTGGGGCTTCAGGCAATGGGCAAAGAACTATCGGGTACCAACCTGGGCTCAGTTAAAATCCTTGTATTGTTCTGAGATAGTACCCGAGACACAGCAGCCAGTGTGCCTCCCACATCCATGTCACAGGCCGATAATTGAGTGGAATGTTCAGAGAGGATAAAAAGGAGTTGATACATGAATATAAGCCATTAGTAATAGGAGAAAGAGTATGCAAGAGGAGAAGAGAGCTCTCTAGACTTCTTGCTCAATTTCTCTATAAACCTAAAACTGTTCTAAGATATAAAGTCTACTTTAAAAAGAAGGTGATAAAAAGGAACCATACAAAAACATCTGTGATCAAGTACCTTTGGGAATATTTGAGTTAAATAAATTGAAACAATTTTCTGTCTTTTGGAACTTCTAAGAGCCTATGCTAACCTCCGTTGGGGATTTCCACATAGATGAGGTTTGGAACATGCAATAGAGTTTTAAACATTTGCTTGGCATTGGTACTCTCTGCGTGTATGTGTGTGTTTAATAGATAAGCTCATTGATTTGACGCTCTTAGAAATCTCCTTCTTTTTGACTGCACTCGGAATTAGAAGCTCTCAGAGAAGACAGATGCCATAATTCAAATGCACCAATTCTTCCCCAGTCTTCGTTATTCCTTGTTCAGCTTTCGCCTGCTTGTGAAGCAACTGAAAATATCACAGGCACATTTTCGTCCTGAAAGTGACATATTTTCTTTTTTTAACACCTGAAAGAGGTATTTTGCAGCAGATTTTCCCAATGAAATATGTCTTTTGATTTATTGAACTGATGCTTCCATGGGAATTGATTGTAGATCCAAATAAAACTAAATCCTTGACAACTTAAATCTCTGATCCAATTATCATAATGTTGCGTATTGGTCCAGCTGTGAAGACTGTTTTTACTTTTATGATGAGGTGTAATAAATACCAAAGGCTGCAGCTTTTTCTCTTCAACAGGGAAGTCCTTCAAGTGTTCTTCACGTTCAGTATGCAAAATCGGGACACATGTACATCACAGGTGGCAAACATGTCTTCCTCAAATCGTGATGTCACATTCTTCTTCATAGAGTCTAGCTACTTGTAGTATTTGCTGAGCACACACATTGAACAAGTGTGAGAAAGTATATGACCCTGATGCACACATTTACTGATTTTAAACTACGCTGTGTCTCTTTGTTCTCTTTGAATGACTGCCTCTTTTTGCTATGAACAGGTTCCACATGACCACAATTTAGTGTTCCGAAATTCCTTTTCCTTGTGATATTATCCATACTTTGTTATGATCCACAGAGTCTTTGTGTAATCAGTAAAACAGCTGTGCTTGTCAAAGGTGGTAAGATCACTAGAAAAACAGAGCTGAAGGCAGAAGCAAAAGTTGGCGTGAACACATGTGGAAGGCTCCCTCCAGACACAGAAGTAATCTGGTGAGGAACAAAGGGTTCAGGAAATTCAATTACACTGATCTACTGAATTCAATTATTTATAATATTCAACATTAATTGAATATGCGAATTGTTGCTTCAGACTGGAGGCACACCAGGCTTTTAAAGAAATCTATCCACTAAACACAAATGAAGGTATTTTTGTCAGTTGTGGCTGCATATAGGTTCTAAATAGATAGAAAAACAAATCTCTGGCAGTCATGCCTTCAAAATGCTAATATAAGTTGCTGCCATGAGAAGTTTGGATGAATTTCCAGATATCTGGAAATCCCCCATAAGTTTCCTGGGTCTGTTATGTTGCTAAGGTTCTGAAAAGAGCATCCCAGAAGCCTAGACTGTTGAAAAAGGTACAGCTGGAAACAGGAAATGGTACGGTACTCCCTGACCTGAGTGAATGTTGCCCTGATAAATAGCTACACCTATAATAATGCAGTGCTGAATGGTGGCCATTTGTTCCTCAGTCTCTAGACACCCCACAGCAAGATTACTGTGTTAAAAGCCTGTTCTCTTATTTTGAAATATATTTTGGGGCCAAGAAAATGGAGTGTCCATTTCATTTATGAGCCATTTGAAGGAAGGTGCTCCCTATCTGTCGATTCACCCCTCCACTGAGTAGCACTTAACTGTCTCTATTTTGAAGATCAGTCCCCAGTCCTGAGACCCATAGCTGATGGGTGCCTTTCACGGAGCATTAACCAAGTCATGGGGAATTGGTAAAGGGCCTGACAAATGCAGTCATCACCAGAGGCCTTTATCTTCCTGAGAAGACCACTCAGAATATCTCTGCGAAGGGCCAGGACCAGAGGGCAGTCTGGGGTGCAGGGCTGGGCCTTGGTTGTTGCTAACCACATCCTCTGAACCCATCCAGAAACCTGGATTTAGTAAGAAAAGGACAGCTCAGAGCTGCCTGCTTTATGGCTTCAGGACTAGAGATTTGGGGTAGGGGGTGGGGAGGCCTAGTAAGGAGGAAAAGGGCCAATAAGGTCAGAATAAAGGAAAATGAACAGCTGGAAGGAAGACATGGTCTTAAGTTTCTTTTCTTACAATTTTTATACTTTTCCTTTGACTTCCTCTGAGGGCTGTGAAGATGTGCTGGTCAAACTGACAGTGTGTGGGGAGAGGAATGGAAGGGAGAAGGCAGGAGAGCAGGGGAACATGTGAAGGAGAAGAAGATAAAACAAATCCAGGCCAGGAAAATGAATTAGAACAAAGATGCTTTGGAAATAACTGCCAGGTCAGATGGGTGTGATCAAAGGTTTACTTTTGCTGTGTGGGGAAAAAAATCATTAAGAAAGGCCAGAACAAGACAGCCGATTCCAATCAGAGGCACAAATAAAACACATTCAAAGCAGTGCCATGAGGATAGCGTTTCTGTTACAGCCAGTAGAAAAACAAAACAAAAAGAAAGAAACAAAACAACAACACAAAAAAGATACAAACAAGCAGATGATACTTGGAAACATCACCAACAGAACAAAAGGAGATACTTATGTGAAGGAAAATAGTGCTTCTTACCCAGTTCGGTTATCATTAGAATGTGCGTCCCACTGTTTTTTTCCTGATTGACTGATACCAAAGGCAACTTGCCTGGTTTAGCTAATTGGATACAGCATTTAAGGATTGGGGAAAGGGAGTGGAGGAAAGTATAGAAAGAGAAAAAGAGTGAGGGAATAATAGAGGAAACATTCTAAAGTAAAGGGACCCACGACCATTTGTCTTGGGGAAAGAGGGGCACTGCCGATTTGCAAGTTTACAAATCATAGTGATGATGCCATCGGCATGTTAAATGCTGAATTCCATTGACCAATGATTCTGGTCCTCAAAGCCCCATCAATTTTCAGTTCAGAGGGATATTTTTCTGAAAATGAGTGCAGGCTGAAAAGCAGTTCAATGAGCATAGATTAAATGCAGAATTATTACTCATTAACCCAATGCTGCTGCCAAGTTCTTGAAATGGCTTTGGCTTAGACCTGAAGCTGTGTACATCGGTGGACGATTCCAGCCATAGGAGTGCTCCAGATAGAATGCTCAAATGTGGTTCTTTTGGTGGAAAATCACCAGAAAGAATCCATGGACTAGGTTTTCCCCATCTCCGCCCCATCCCCTAACTCATGCCCCAGTCTTCAACCCATCGTGTCGTGCTCCACTGGAAACAGTGACCAACATGAAGGAAACTGTCTATTCATTGCCAAGGAATGATAGATCGGTTTTCCCTTTGGTAATCTGCCATGCTTCCACCCCTGCCTTTCCCCTACCCCTGCCCCTGCCCTCTTCCAACACAAACTCCATTAGCGCCTTCTAGGCTGTAAGAGCTGGGAAACAAACTAACCTCTACATATTCTGCATGGAAGAGATGACAAACATTCTCCCCCAAGTCTACATTCACCCTACCTAGTTCCGTGATGATGGGGATATTGACCCCAGTCGTGATGGATGGTTGGCGTAGCATCCCATGAACTGGACTGTTGTCTGGAGAGGACCTGTCCATTCCTGGAGGTGTGAACCCTATTGGGAAAAAGAGAAAGAGAAATCAGATATGGAGCTTTTAGAAACAATCAGAATGTATAAACAAAGCCCCAAATATGTAGCTCATGTGTTGTTAGCTGTCAATAATTCATATTCCCAGGAAAACCTACGATGCGATAATTTTTTTTAGAAAGACAAAATAAGACTATTAAAAAACTCCAACTCACTTTGATAGTTCTCTTAAAGTCCAGATTCGACCCCAATTTTTTAATCCTGCTCACAGATTTTGGCTTCCTTCTCCTTGCACACACCCAGGAGATTTGTACCTTTCAGTCTCTTCAAAGTTAGATCAGCCATGTGACATAAGAAATAACTCTGGACCATGAAAAGTGACCAGAAGTGATGAGTATAATTTCTGATTGAAGTATTTAATGCGTATACCTAACTTGCCATATGTTTCTTCCCAAGAATGATCACAATGGAAACACAGGTCCTTACAGAGATGAACAGCTGACTAGAACCTCCAACCATTTGAGTGAGAAAAAAAATCTACGTTGCTGTAAGACACGTAGATTTAGGGGGTTCCTGTCACCACCTAACCTGTTCTGCTCTCTGAAACCAATGATTACTTATCCTCTTGTCAGTTAGTGAATTCGGGGTGGTTTTTTGACATATTTTGGTCCGATGGATGAGAGAAGAAGTCTGCTAAAGGGGCCTTGAGCACACATTTCCTTGCTCTTAAAAAGACACATGGAAAGAGATTTTCTTAATTCACTAGACATTGTTTTGTGTGACATTAATGCTTGAAACTGGCAGCCATTTTACAATTAGAATGGATATTTGCTGAGGGCAAAACTAATTTAATGATACCAGCTGTGTTCGTTACATAATCTGTTGTCAATTTGCGACTATTAAGAGTGAATGGGGTGGAGTTTAGCCTGTCAATCAGGTCACAGTTTGATGTGTTAAAGAGATAAATAGCTCACAGAGGCCAGATACACTCACTCCTGGGGAGACATTCCTGTTAACAAGCCACATGAGCTATGCTGATAGATCCAGAACCCTGGAGCTGGAGGAGCCATGTGGAGACCTATGCCAGCAATGACATGCTTCCACCACCATTGGATCCAACGACTTTCCTTGGATCTGTCTTTGGTATTCCCCAGGAACTTCATTACTTTGCTCCCCTTGCTGCTCTGCTGAATGCCCTTAGTATTATCTATTTTTCTTAGATGAATTTGGACCACCAATTTTTCAACATAGGTTAAAAAAATTATATCAATCTTCATAACCAGTCTCTCTTCTTTATAATATGATGTTTTTACCAAGCCTTATCATACTACTAATTGCCTTCTTATTCCTTTATTAGGGTTTTATTTATGTGTAAATTCTTAAATAATAATGTAAAAATCTATCCAAAACTACCTCAGTTCTTTACCCATAGGAGAGAGGAGAGGTGGTAATGGATGCTTTACAATCCAGTAAACATTTAGTGATTACCAATTAAGATAATACTATCAGTAGCTATCCTTTTGAGTATTTGCTTCAAACCAGGCATAAACAAAATGTACAAAACTGTACTAAATTTTAAAAATTCAACATTTCATTTTATTCTCATAATTGCTCACTATGGGAGATACAGATATTTCCTGAGTAGTGGCAAACTACTTAATGAATGTGTGCCTTTTGTTTGTGTACATCTTCTAGTTAGTTCAACGAGGTATACTAATTCCAACACAGATTTGTTTGGTCTTTGATAGTTCATGGTGCGTTCAATATTCTTCACCGGCACCATCATTCAAATGTATTGATTCTTATTCTATCTTCCTTATTCAATGTCCAATGTTCACATGTGTAGGAGGCCATTGAAAACATCATGGCTTGGCTCAGGCACATCTTGTGTGTCCTGATGTTCATCCTTGGATCGAACATATTTGGTGGAACATCCTTGCTTTTCAACACTTTACAGAGGTGTTGTGCTGAAGATTTTCCCAATGCAATGTGTTGTTTGATCATCTTCCATGAGCATTGACCATGGGTCCCAACAGGACGAAATCCTTGACAGCTTTGATATTTCTACACTTCTGATGATGTTCTCTGCTGTCCATAAGGTCTTCAATGACTGTCTCCTCCAAAGTGGACAGCCTCTTTTGTGTCTGTCCTTACTCTGGAAGCTACGCTGACACCTGTTCACTTTGGGTGACCCTGCTGGTGTTTGAAATACTGGCACAACTTTCAACATCACAGAAGCCCACAAGCCACCACAGTATAACAAACTGACAGACAAGCAGTGGATTTATAGGATTTTAATCAAAGACAATGATAAGGAAAACTGAAAAAGAGAGAAGTATTTTACTTAAGTCACCACCCGCTTTTAAGAGAATTGTTGGATTGAAATCCTATTGTATAACTCAGGAGTACCTGGACTTCTATTTTATAGATGAAGAACCCGAGGCTTGAAGAAATTTCACAGAGTCCTCAGAGTTACGTGCTAATAAGAAGTGAGCCAATAGTTGAGCCCAAGATATCTGATTTCAAAACCCAAGCTCTTACACATTCCACTTATAAACGTCAGGCACAAACTTGACACCCATGTTCATGCTCAGGGAAGAGAATGCTGCTGTTGTTAGGTGCCATCAAATTGACCCCTGATACATAGTGACTCCCTATACAGTGGAATGAAATGCTACCATTCTTGTGGTTAGACCATTGTGATCCATAGGGTTTTCATTGATGCATTTTCAGAATTAAATTACCAGCCTTTTCTTCTCAATCCATTTTTTAAACCTTGATGAAATGTCTTTAGCATCATAACAGCACATTAGTAGTGGCTGTGCAGGAGGTACATTGGCCGGGAATTGGATCCCGATCTCCTGCCCATAAAGTGAAAATTCTACCACTGACCTAGGGATACATCTAATGATGAGAGTTGGGGCTTTATATGATTTATTGAACTTGAACAGTTTTCTGAGTGAGGATTTCTCATTCTGTTTCTCCAACATGGACATTCTTGGTCATCTTTTCTGGTGATTTAAATGTTTCTAAAGTTAACTCATGAAGTATTTGTTCAACTAATGGAAGATGTGTTTCCCACTTTCAATGGTCACTAGTTGGAGATTAGGATCCCTGGATTATATTCCATATACCAGTAGCTTTTACATGCAAAACTAATGTTGTTTGCATAAAGTTAATAAAGTTCAACCAAAAATGTCAACTTTGTTGCAGAGTTGATATATCATGGGAGGGAAGGAGACAAGACAATCAGGGACCAAGACTATTTAGAGCTGTTCCCTTTATTAACTGCTGCGGTGATGAATGGGGTTATTAGATGCTATCAAGTCAATTCCAACTCATAATGACCCTCTGTACAATAAAATGACTGGTCCTATGTCATCCTCATGATTTTTTCTTACGTTTAAGCCCATGAGTACAGCCAATGTGTCAATTCATCTAGCTGAGGGGCTTCATATTTTTTGCTGCCACTCTATTCTACCAAGCACGGTGTTCTTTTCCATGACAGTGATGTCATGGTGAAAGTATGTGAAACAAAGTCTCATCATTCTTGTACATTAGTCTGGCTGTGCTTCTCCCAAGACAGTTTTGCTGGTTCTTTGGGTAGCCCATGTTCTTCACCACCATAATTCAATTCTTCTTCAGTCTTCCATATTTATTGTCCAATTTTTACATGCGTGAGAAGTAATGGAAAATACCTAGGCTTGGGTCAGGTGCACCTTAGTCTTCAAAGGAACATCTTCGCTTTCAAGACTTCGAAGAAGCCTTGTACATCAGATTTACTCAATGCAATGCAATTTGATCTCTTGACTGTTATTTCCATGAACACTGACTGTGGATCTAAGCAAGAAGAAATCGTTGACAACCTCACTTTTTTCCCATTTTTCTTTTTTTTTTTTTTGGAGCAAGCTCCTAGTCCAACTCCCACTCGCAAAAATACATTTAATATGTTGTCCTCAGATAGAGGACGTATCAGATATTAAACTGATAAGAACAGATACTACACTTGATCTTAGCCAAAAGGCCGAGAAGCGATTTTTCATTGGCCCAGTTGTACAGATTTTTATTTCGTTTACGTTGAGTTGTAATCCATACTGCAATCCTTGATGGTCATCAGTAAGGGCTTCACGCCCTACTCACTTTCAGCCAGCAAGATTGTGTCATCTGCATATCACAGGCTGTTAATAAGCCTTCCTCCAATCCTGCTGCTGAATCCTTCTTCATAGAATCCAACTTCTCTGATTATTTGCTCCACATACAAATTTAATAAATATGGTGACAGGATACAACCCTGACACATTTTTCCTGATTTTAAACCATGCATTATAACCTGAATTCTATGTGTAAAACTGCTCTTGACCCATTTAAAGTTTGTGCATGTCACAGTCAAGTGTTCTGGAATTTTTGTTACTCTCAAGGCTATTTGACTTCTTTTGATCCACACAGTCAAATACCTTAGTATAGCCAATAAAATACAAGTAAACATCAGTTTGTTCTTCTCTCATTTCAATCAAGAGCCATCTGACATCATCAATGATATCCCTTGTTCCATATCATCAGCTTTTTCAAACATTTTATTGGTATTCTACTAATTCTGGGAGCCTTGTTTTTGGCTAATGCCTTCAGTGCAGCTTGGACTTATTCCTTCCCATTGTTAATTGATCATATGTTACCCCTTGAAATGGTTAAATGTCAACTAGCTCTTTTTGGTACAGTGTCTCTTATATTTTCTTTCCACCCTCTTTTGATGCTTCCTGCATACTTCAATATTTCCCCCCTAGAATCTTTCATTATTGCAACTCAAGTTTTGAATTTTTTTCTTTAGTCTTTTCAGTTTAAGATATGCTAAGTGTCTCTTTCCTTTTTGTTTTTCTAACTCTAGGTCTTTGCACAATCATTATAATACCTTACTTTGTTATTTCATTTCTTCTATTTGAACGGGGTAGATACCATCAAGTAGTATTAAAGGCCAGATTGCTCTATCCCATCTAATGGAAGAGGCCTGAGTTTCTATTCTCTCCAAGTCATTTAGGGGATCTGGGTCAACCTTGTCTTTTCAAACTACAGGTTGGCCACATTATGACCCATAAATGAAAACAAACAAACAAACAATTATAATAAATTCTAATCATCTTTAACAGAACTCTATGTGTGGGAAAGTCCTAAAATCTATTTCTATAGCCTTTACAATTAGCTTTGTATAATGTGAGGCTAGAAAAGTAGTGAAATAGAGGCATTCTCATACTAAGGTCTTCTACCCAATGGAAGCACTACCCTTGGGTTCATGCATACAGGAAAAGACCTTGCACAGAGAGATGTCTGGATACCCAGTATAGTTTGTCAGTTACAAATGCTAATGGAACCAGGCTTCTTGAGGACCGAAGGGGAAAATAGAATGTGAAAGCAAAATGAAACAGGAATTGGAGGCAAGCATGTCATTTCAAAATGAATGTTCATGCAAAGAATTGAGTCCTTTTCACAGCTGAAATGGAATATTAAAATAAAATAAAATACAATAAGACTTGTTGTAGATTCTGTAATGAAATACAGGTTTCCTAATACCCGGTGACCTGCATTTCTCCCTGCTTTATGGGTGCTATACATACAAGCCATATTTTCTCAAGTCAGCATTTGATGATGGATGTCAAAATACAGGCTATGTATTATGCATATAGCATGACCGCTTTAAGGTGTTTACTTGTCAAGTTCGGGAAATTAAAAAACGTCATATCCACTGAATCTGGACAGCTGTCACTAACAGTTTTTCATGCTTTTGAATGAAATCTTCTGATGCAAACAGTTTCGTTTTAACAGCTAGCACTTAAAATGTGTGTTCTTGGTAAGGTGATTGGCTGAAAAAACACACATCCCTAAGTTTAGAAAGCTGGGTGCTATATCTTCATTCAATATGACATACCCTGGTCACAGTATATTAATATAAAAATTAAATTAATTGAAATCAAGACATAGTAATGAAATAAAGCTTCGTGTTTTTCTTTATGGCAGTATGTTACTCAATGGTATAACATTTATATACAGGAGAGTGAAATAAGAAAATCTCTTCATATTTTTCTAGTGCTTCATCCTTTCAGTGTCTCCAAAACAATAGGCAGTTATTGAGCACCGACTGCCATTTCATTCTTGCTAGATAAAGCTTCACACATTCCCAAAATGCCAGATACAATCCTATCTTATCCCATTACTGGAGAGTGAGTCAAAAATCTGGTCATAGTATCTACTTCATATTTTGTCCTAGGAAATTTAGCAAGTGATTTTGTACTTCTATGTCCCTAATTCATTGATAAACCCATGTAGCAAGACACTAAGCACAATGAAACAAAAGTAAAGTGGATGTGGGTATTTCTCTGCCTGTCTTTGGGAGTGGGGGGAGCATATAGGACCTTGCAGTCAGCATTGAGTAAATGAATGTAAGGGAGAGACAATGATGGATGTATTTAATTTACTACTTTTTAGGGCATTCTATGTCTCTATGTACATCCTAAAAGAGGCAGTCAATCAGCCTCACAGTCATGTTCTAAGCCATCACTAAACTTGAAGCTGTGGTTGGATCATGCTCACTCTGCTTTGCACTTTGGACCTGGGCCTGAAACCCACAGACACCCAAATTACCAAAACAAAAAACCAAGCATGCTACTTCCCACTTGTCCTATGTCCATTCCGACCTTATGATGCCCAGTTGAACTCACTGAGAGTTTAATGGACCCACCATTATAAAGGATGACTTCTGCTTTCTCAGTTTGACTTAAACACACACACACACACACACACACACACTCTTCTGGCTCAAGTGGTTGCTAACTAGAAGGTTCTTGGTGAGCAAATTGAGGCTCTGTGGAAGAAAGGCCTGGTCTACTTCCAGAAAAATTACAACCAATATGGATGTCTATTTAGTTGCCATTGAACAGGCCTTGATATATGACAGTCCTGTGTATTACAGAGTAGAACTGTAATCGTCACTTCAAGAACTCAAGGACAATTTTTTTAATGGTTCAGATTAGCTAGTGTGTTAGTCTGGGTTGACTAGAGAAACAAATTCATAGACACTCATATATGTGTAAGAAAGAACCTTATATCAAAGAGCAACTGTACATTAAGAAAACACCCCAGCCCAGTCCACCTCAAGTCCATAAGTCCGATATTACCCCATATGTCCATACTAGTCCATAAATTCCTCTTTAGAATCAAGCAGCCACTGAATGCAGGAAGATCATAGGACAGACTACAAAACACTCGCAAAGGCCAAAGAACAGACCTGGAACTATTTATAGGATTTTCCATTTTTGTCAGTGGCCTTCATTTTGTTGTTGTTAACATGCTTTGGGGTTTTGTTGTTGTTATTGTTTTGTTGGTTTTGACTTCCTTTGTTGTTTTCTTTGGCTTTGCCTGGTTTTTGTGCTTATTAATGTCTCTGCATGTCTATCTAGGTAAAATAGGTGGGATGAACAACTCGGAGACCAAAAGAATGGGACTGATAGTCCTGGGGGGTGGGGGGAATATGGGGGAAGGGGAGGTGGGAGAAAGGAAGAGGTGGGGTGAAACGAAACCAGGGACAAGGGAACAACAAATGAACTAAACTCAATGGAGAGAAGGGTGTAGGATGCCTAGTGGATCTTAATCAAGGGCAATGTAGCCGCGAGGAATTACTAAACCCAGATAAAGGCCGAACATGATCGTGGAACAAGAGGGAAGTAAAAGTAAATAGAGGAAAGAACCAGGAGGCAAAGGACATTTATAGAGGTCTAAATACAGGCATGTACATATGTAAATACATTTATATATAACGAGCGGGGAACAGATCTATGTACTTATATCTGTATATTAAAAATTAAGGTTGCAAGTGGACATTGGGCCTCAACTCAAGTACTCCCTCAACACAAGAACACTTTGTTGTAATAATCCGGCACTCTGTGATACTCACCTTCCTGACACGATCGCTGAAGACAAAATGGATGCATAAGCTAATGTGGTGAAGAAAGCTGATGGTGCCCAGCTATCAAAAGATATAATGTCTGAGGTCTTAAAGGCTTGAAGATAAACAAGCGGCCAACTAGCTGAGAAGCAACAAATCCCACATGGAAGAAGCACACCAGCTTGTGTGATCATGAGTAGTGTTGTCGATGGGATCAGTATTCAGGCATCTAAGACCCAGAACAAAATCATCATACCCAATATGAAGGGGAAGTGGGGAGGGGGTGCATGAAGTGGAGACCCAAAGCCCATCTGGAGACAATTGGACATCCCCTCACAGAAGGGTCACAAGGAAGAGATGAGCCAGTCAGGGTGGAGTATAGCACTGATAAACCACACAACTTTCCTTTAGTTCTTTAAAGCTTTCTTCCCGCCACTATCATGACCTCAATTCTACCTTACAAATCAGATTAGACTAGAACATGTACACTGCTACAGATAAGAGCTGGCAACACAGGGAATTCGGGATAGATAAACCCCTCAGGGTCAACAATAAGAATAGAGATACCAGGAGGATAAGGGGCAGGTTGGGGGAGAAGGGGGAATGGATCACAAGGATCCACATATAACCCCCTCCCAGGGGGACAAACAACAGAAAAGTGGGTGAAGTGTGGCAGAGGATGATATAAGATATGAAAATAATAATTATAACTTATCAAGGGTTCATTAGGGAGGGGGAAGAAAAGGGGAGCTGATATCAAGGGCTCAAGTAGAAAGAAAATGTTTGAAAATGATAATGGCAGCATATGTACAAATGTCCTTGACACAATGGATGAATGTATGGATTGTGATAAGAGATGTAAGAGCCCCCGATAAAATTATTTAATAATAAAACAAGAAAGATTCTATGGGCAAAATATTGACCAATGCAGGAAGCATCAAAAGAAGATGGAACAAATACTCAGAGTTGTTGTACCAAAAAGAACTAGTTGGCATTCCACTGTTTCAGGAGGTAGCAGATGAGCAAAAACGAATAGTATGGAAGGAAGAAGTTCAAGCTGCACTGAAAGCATTAGCCACAAACAAGGCTCCAGGAATTGACGGAAT